GAAAACGTCTTGAAAAATGGAGACTTGATGGCACAACAACCCAAAACAGAAAACGTTAACCTCGGTAACTTTCTCAGGTATGCCTGAAACAGCTGGAGTTACCATGGAAACTCAGTCAGTCAGTCAGTAAAATCACAGCAGTGATGAAGTCGCCTGATGACAAACAGCACACATGTGTCGAATACTGAAGCTGTTCACCTGAAAGCGCCTCGAGGTGACGGTTGTTGTGATGAACTGAATAACTGAATTACAGATAAAACATTCAGATACATAAATAATCTTTACGTATAATTTAGAAAAGCAAAGAAGCAAATCTGTGACTTTGATGTTGTAAATGTGAAACATACATTTTTATTTAGGACTCATTGAAGTCCAGCACCCGTCCATCGAGGTGGACGACCTCACCAACGGTCCAAAGGTTCAATCTAATAAAAATTATCTCAGTTTAAAAATAGTCAAACCTCAGATTTGAAAATCACCTTGATACCTGAAGCCCCTCCCCCTCCCTCAGGCGTTTCAGGCCGGCTTGGTCTTGCGCGTGTGGATCTTCATGCGGCGCAACAAGTGGCTCTTCTGACTGAAACATCTGCCGCAGGTTTTGCAGTCCAGCGTCTCACCTGTGCGACGTCTCATGTGAGTTTTTAACATCGCGCACTGAATGAACCGTTCCCCGCAGGAGCCACAGGTGTACGCGCTCTCTCCCGTGTGCGTCCTCATGTGGAGCGCCAGCTTATTGCTCCTCACGAAGCCTTTTCCACAGGTGTCGCAGGCGTACAGCTTCACGCCCGTGTGGATCCTGCGATGTTTTATCATCCGGGACCTGTGCTGAGAGGCTTTTCCACAAACATCACATTTCACCCTCTTCTTCCCGCGTCTGTGACACGGCGGCGCTCTAACATGTGAGAGTCGTTCACACAGGTTATGCGTGCTGTGTAAGTATCAGTGACCATGAAGGGATCGCTCTGCTGCCCGACTACCAGCTGCTCCTCCTGCTTCCCTTCGATCTGCGGAGCTTCTGGTTCCTCCACACTGGAGCTCCTCTCCTGGTCACAGAGCTGCTGCTCAGGGAGAACCTCCTCCTCCTCCTCACAGACAGGCTGCTGTGGGACGTCTGGAGGGATAAAAGGTTGATAATGTCAGCTGATCTACATGCTTGAAATCAGGGCTGCTGAGTCAATATTAAGATGATTATCATGGGAAACATAATGGATTTACTACAAGAAGGAACTGATCCTTTAAAATGTAGCAGCTCTACAACTTTAACAGTTCATAAAAACTTCAAAGCTGGAAGTAACGATGATCTATCCTGACATGAACCAAGCCAGCACAGAGAAGTGAAATTTAAAGTCTGCATCTGTGGCTCTTTGTGGCTGCTTCCACGAGAGTTTTCACTCACGTAGGGAACGTTTGGTCACCACTCAGGAAGCAGCTTCCTGCTTTCAGCCCATGTTTGCGTTATGACGAGCTGCAGACGGGAGCTCCTCGACCTAAACAGGTCAGAGGACCTGAGAAACGGGGCCGCCCGGCAGGAGTGTCAGAGCAGGGTTTTGTTTTTCCATCAGGTTAAACTGGTGAAGGTTTGAGGCCAGCAGAGTGAATCCACAGTTCCAAATGATTTCAGGAAAACTGGGAAAAACTAAAAGGTCTAAAATGTACATCGATTGTCTTGAGTTCTCCTGTTTTCACACATGCACCTCTGCTCTCTTTGGCAGTGCGTCGCAGCTGATAACCCTCCATCTCCTCCTACCTCAGCATCCTCTTCTGTCACATCAGCCCTCTTCTGTCCTCCTTCATTACACCCATGAACCTCCTCTGAGGTCTTCCTCTTTCCCACCTGCCTGGCAGCTCCATCTTCATCATCCTTTGTCTGATATATCCACCCTCCCTCCTCTGCACGTGTCCACGTGTTGACTTTTGACATGTTTTCTCACTCACCTGTCCTGTGCAGCTTGATTTCGGGTTTCCAGGTGATATCCAGCAGTCTGCGCTGACGGTCGATCTCTTCCTCGTACTGGACGATCGTTTTTTCAAACTCCAAGAATATTTGTTCAGCAGCAGCAGTTAGTCGCTCGTTGATAAACTCTCTCAGATACTGAACTGAAGGCATTGTTGCTGCAGCACAGTCTCCGCTCAGATAAACAGAAATAAAACTACTATCTGTTTACTTCCTTTGTGTGTCGCAGTGAGAGGTTCCGACAGCGCATCGGCGTCTAACGTTCGTTCCGCCTACACAAACGAAGCGTCCACGTGATAAAAGGTAAACACTGCAAACGTGCGAGCTCCAGTTTTAGGACGTTTGCAGAGTTTCAGACTAATAAGCAGCAGGAGAAACTTTCGGGTGTGAAGAAGGAAAGTCAAATATAAAATCATCTTCGCGGAGATTTGGATTTTATTTTTAACCCATCAGAACATTTTTGATGCTTAAAAGTTGCAAACTCTAAAACATTCCTGTTGTTCGTTTTTCAGATCTAATAATGGGAGTCTGTTACTTCCTGATCGTTGTCTCTTGAGTCACCACAAAGCCTGGATGCAGTGTAGATGAAACTGCTTTCAGCTGCTCCTTTATTCACACCGGGCAGCTCCACATGTTAGCTTTGGTACTTTTTACTCCAGATGTCCTTCCTGATGTGTCCCTGGAGGGATTTGTGTCTGCTCTTGGGGTCAAACCAGGAATTTTTCACTTGTTATATGTAAACCCCCACACTATCTCCTACCCTGGAGCCACATCTGTACAACAGATCCTGGAGGAACAGGAAATATGTGCAATAACAATGTTAAAGACTGTTGTTAAATGGCTCATGATGTGAGGATATATTAAATTACATCTGGATTAAATTCAAAGGATTTTGATCAACTAAGCATGTCTAGAATGATGTGAGCCATCTTTCAGACAGACAGGCCTGCGTGACATCAGCTGGGATTGGAAAGCGTACGATATCAGGCAGATTTTCAGGAAAACATTCATGAGTCCATACATTATTCTCTCATTATCCACCTTTTCAGGGCATAGACACTGACTCGTTCATCACAAGCAGCTGGAGGTTACATCCTGGCCTCCAGCAGATTTGCACATCATTAGTTTAGTCATGGAGTCACGGAGAAAAGGTGCCAGAGAACAGATCAGGGACTCAACTCAGAGTTTAAGCTGGCTCACATTTTTGAACAGTGCACCATCTGAGTATGATCACTCTGTTCACCCAGATCATTAATAACAAGGATGCTCTGTTATTACTACAGTTAACTGCAGCTTTTGGTGCATCAAGAGTGGAGGGAGGGAAGTGAAAGCAGGATCTCAGTGGGCCGGTTCAGTGGAAACTAGACTAAGACTGGGTGACAGGAGAAACTGGCCTAATGCAGTTTTCACTCAGGCCAAATGTAACTTTTTTTTTTTAAACTTTATTTACAAACAACAGTATAACGTACAGGGCACCATCATTAATCCGAATATGTAACATCCGCGGTTGAGCATTATAGCAAAAAACAAACAAACAAACAAACCAAAAAAAAACAATAAACACAAAGCTAAAAGAGTTAGTACAAAAAGAAAGAACAGTCACTGAAGGATTTGAACCAAAGGCAAAAAATAACATGAGCAAAAAAGGGCAGTCATGATTATAAAATAGGGAGGTTTCTTTTTTCTTTTTAACAATTAAACTTATTAAATAAAACAACACGTTTATGAGCTTTCTTGTTATTCAGAAGTTTCAGCGATTTAGCCCAGAGTTTAAAGTCATTCAGCCATCTGTTTATACCTGGTTTATCTTTAAAGTATCTGCATTTGTGAATAAATTTTTTCCCATTAACAAAAACGTCCTAATCAACAGGTCAAAATCTGCATTCTCAGCAAGTATTCCAAATTTTATTACTGTCACCGTCAAATGTGGTAACTGAATCCTCCTGAGGTGTAGCCAGCTCCACATGTCAGTCCAGAAGGAGTGCACTGATTCACAGCAGAAAAACAAGTGATCCAGACTTTCAATATCATCTTCACAAAATGTGCAGGCATTCACATCTAAGTTAAATTTCCGTCTAAAGAAGTCATTGGTTGGATAAACCTCATTAATGATTTTAAAGTGAACCTCTTTTACTTTAGGAGAAAGAGGATGTGAGGTACACTTTTTTCTTATCGCCTTAACCTCCATGGTCTCAAATTATTTAAGGATATAATTTCTTTTAACCGGATTAGGGCAAATTTCGTTTATCAAAATATTCCTGATCACTTTGTTTGTAAACCTGCTGTAGGCCAAACGTAACTGAGCCAGAAGTGCAACAAGTCGCCCGAATGCGTCTGTGATGCGGGGTGACACACGCAGTGTATGTCCACAAATGACCTGCAGGGGGCAGCGGTGCGCCTGCGCTGAGTTCAGTCTGCCAGGAGAAGAAGAAAACCCACTCAGGGTTTATTGTTAGCTTAACTCCTCTGAGGGCTGGAGTGGAAGGCGGTGGGGTTTTCTTTCTTACCCTGTTTCAGGCCAGTGTTTCCGCAGGTGCAGTAATAATGACCTTACACCGGGACCTGAGACGGTTTATTAACGGCCGACTAACTGCTGCTGCTGAAGAAATCTTCCTGGAGTTTGAAAAAACGATCGTCCAGTACGAGGAAGTGATCGACCGTCAGCGCAGACTGCTGGAGATCACCTGGAAGCCTCAGATAAAGCTAAGCAGAATAGGTGAGTCCACGCTCAGCGAGAAAAACACTTCACGGAGGATCCTAACCGGAGCTCCACGACACATTTACTGAGCCAGGAGCTGAACACGAGCTGCGGGACGGTAGGTCGTGTATTTCCTGCGGGGTTTGGATTGTTGCGGGAAGAAACGAGTGAGGCCGAACTAACATGGCTGTGATCGGCACACAGTCCGTGGGCCCAGCAGCACGCAGAGCTGGGCCGGGCTAGAGCCTCTGTCAGCGGATAGCGAGGTCTGCTGTTACGCGCGGGGTGATTGATAAAGCAGGAGTGCTGGGGCCAGGGTGGGGGAGAGGGTCACGTCATTACATACCTGTCACCTGACCTACCTGAAAACAATTCCCGCTGAAAGTTCGACCTGTGACTATCTGCAAAGTGTCAGCGCCCTGCTGTCACTGGTGCTCTCAAACATCCTTGAAGCGTTGGAGGGAGGGCTGTTTAAGATGTCAGGGTAAATATCTGCTTCTATGAATGGACCCTCCAGTTTTTGTTCTACAGCAAACGGTGGAGGCGTGTAGCCCTTAGTGGGGGTGAAACAGTCCTGAGGGACGTTACATGAGTCAGTGTGTGTGTGCTTCACGCCGTGACTACAATGACCCGGATGACACAGACATGTACACGTCCTCCCTTCAGGGTTGCACCAAGAATCAGTGTAAAGTCTGTAAATCAGACACGTGGAGCTTCCTGCTGTGCAAACAAGTGTGAAAAATAGTAACTTTTATACACAAGGCGCAAAATCTTCTTTTAAACAGTCGGCCGCGCGTCTTCACACTTATTAAAGCCTGAATATGGAAACATATCTATGAAACACTCCTTTGTCTTTCTCAATAGAGCCTCACCTGTGGGATTGTCACAGGGGACTGTGGGGGGGCTCATGTGACCAAAGTGCTGTCAGTAATGGAAGGAAACACTGAGCACTTAGGAGGCACACCTGGAACAGTTTTGCTCGTACGTCGTATGGTTTTGCACAGATGTCCATGAAAATGCAAACAAACACACAATCAAAGCGTCAGTCCTGCATCCTCTGTTTGAAGAGTCGCTCGTGTTGTTGGTTCCTGCAGCTGCGACGGGGGTTTGATGTCATTTGATGTCGTGCATGATTAATAGCGCGAGCCACCCGCTGTAGCGCTGATTGCTGATTGTTCGGTGGCTCAGAGGAGAGTGCAGCTGCAGCTCAGGAAAGAGACAAAAAGAGACACCAGGGAGTTTGTTTATTTTCCACTTCCTGCTTGAAGACAGAGCAGCGCCTATAAATAGCAGCAAGAGAGTAAAGAATCACATTTGAAGGCATTACTCTGTGACAAACACGCCGTCGTTAATGTGTCGTAGATGATGAACTTGCAGCGTTGAATGGAGAGGCCGGAGAATCCGTGTCTGGAGATTAATGAGAAGCCAAATGAGGAAACGGGCTCGACACTGTTAACAGCAGCAGCTCTGCTCGTGGTCACCTTCCTGTTTTTATTATTGAGCAACTCTGTGAGCCCAGATAAGAGGAAGTAAAGCCAAACAAAGAATCAAAGCGGTACCAGTTTCTTTAAAAACACCACTCAGTACATCCCCGACTGACACGTGAATCAGCTGAGGAAGAACATCCGTGACATGCACACTCATACCTGGTTTTTCTGTTCCAGTATTTACTTTTGCTGACAGCAGACGCTGAGCCACGTCACTCAAACAAGCCTGAGATCCCTGAAATTTGAACCCTGCTGATGGTTTCGCACTCAGCTCAGTCACAGTTGGATCTCACAGAGACACACATCCATCTTTATTGGTGCATGAATCCTATAATTACTCCTTATCAGAACTGTAATCGCTGCCTTTTTGCTGACCCAGTCATTTGAAATATCTTTGGACTTTTCCGCCTCAGATCTCCACTCCTCTACGGTCTGCTGGTGATGCGTTCAAGGACTCGTTTAAATGCAGAAAACTACATGTGCTGCATACAGTCGCCTGCAGTTACTAATGCCTGGGATTGTGACTTGATCACAGACTG